TGCCGAATATGTAGTCTCAGTCACAGAACACGTGGACAGCAGCCACGTCAGCATGATACACGTGGCAGCAGCCACATCAGCGAAGGTGCATGGCAGCTGCCACGTCAGCAGGCCAAGAAGACAGGAGCAAGCCGGCCACCATGCCGGAATAGCAGCACCTCGCCAAGTCACAATGCCAGCAGCGTCGAGCCAGCATCGCAGCGTCAAGCCAGTGTCGAAGTCAATGCGTGAAGTCAGCATCAACGCAAGACAGAATGAATGTCAAAGTCAGGAATTCAACTCTTATGTAGTGTTGACGCGGGGTCTGGACCCTGGCTGCTGTATCCCTCGGCCGTCCAGATCTCAATGCGAACGAGGGCTCAGATCGGCCTGAAACCGAATTCCCTCCGGCCTGGATGCTGTCTGCGTACCTGTGCACAACAAGTGAGTGTATCCATCCCAGGGCCTGGGTGCGGTACCTTTGACTCTACAGTTGACTTTGACTCTTGAATTTCCTGTGTGCAGCGTGCGGTCACACAGCCACACTCGACAGACTCAGGCCTGGGCGTCTCTTGGTCACACAGCCCAGCGCAGACCTTCTCAGGTCTGCGTGACCTGGGGCTGAGTTCTGAGCCCCAGGCTACTTCTGAAAAGGGTAATTACATTCCTGCCGACCCATTTTCGAGTTCCACCGCAGATATATTTACGACTTTAACCCTCGTTCATAAGCAGCGACAATATCCTGAGCAGTTTCAAGTAGTTCTCGTTTGCTAAACCATCTGTCCTCAAATGGTGCTTGGGTTTTAAAACGTACCTTGAACTGCTTCTCAGGTCGTCCACGTCCTCCTGTAGAGAAGTAACCATGCTCTATGATCCGGTCAACCTCATATCCGCCATCCATGTCTGGTGGAATCATAAAGGGTCTGTGAGGAAACTCATTTCCTTCTACGTAAGGCAACAATTTGGACGCATGAAAGACAGGGTATGTTTTGAGATGAGGGGGAATATCCACTCGATAAGACGGTCCCTCTGCATCTCCAATTACCTTGAGAACTTCCTTGGGTCCAGAATAGACAGGTTGCAATTTCTGGGAGACATCTTCTTCTAGTGAAAACTCTTTAGATTTTACCCAAACCAAATCACCTTCTTTAAATGTAGACGGTCGACGGTGCGTGTTGGCTTGTTCTATCATTCGTAGTTGAGCTTTCCTTAGATTATCTTTAACTTTCTGAATGTCTTCCTGAATAAAGATTGCATATTCTCGGGTCCGTGGGGGCAACCTAAGGAACTGGTCCCGGTTCAGTACATCAATGGGACGTTTAGGCTTCCACCCTTTGTGAAGTGCATTTGGGGTACGTCCAGTAGACATGTGGACACTATTGTTATATGCACTTGCAATCTTAGGTAAGTTCTCGTCCCAATCAATCTGATCGGGTCGAATATACATACGCAAAAGTTGTTAGCACATACGGTTCATCTGTTCAGTCTGGCCATTCGTTTCGGGATGCCTCCCTGACGACATGGTCAGCCGTGTGCCATAAGCTTCCATCAGCTTTTGCCATGACAGACTGGTGAATCTGACATCTCGATCAGACACAATGGTTTGGGGAAACCCATACTCAGTAACCCATCGCATCTGAAATTTCTGAATGACAAGTTCAGTACGCGCTTCTGCTGGTAAGGGAGCAAACATAGCATATTTAGAGAAACGGTCCACAATTACCATCACTTGACTGTTACCATTGCGACTTTTAACCAGACTCATGAAGTCAATTGAGATAGACTCACCTGGTTCGCTTGGTATAGGTAATGGCTTGAGAAGTCCAAGGGGATTCTCGTGCGACGGCTTGTGTCTCTTACACAGTAAACAAGTACGAACATATGTTAGTACGTGTTCTTTAAGTCCCTTCCATTCGAAACGTTCTCTGACTTCAGCATATGTTTTCTTGAAACCAAAGTGACTCTCAGAATCGTGACATTCCCCTATCAATACACTCTTTATCTCTTCCTTATGAGGAATGCACAGTCTTTGTTCAGTTTGGTCAATCACGAATAACAACCCATCATTCATTCTATAGTTGGGTAGTTGGGATGAGTCTCGTACAAGGACATCCATGATTGGTTTCCAGATAGGATCAGTAGCATATCCTTGGCGAATTTGATCTTTTAGGTCATTCCCAACATCCAAGTAAGAGACAATTGCACCAAAGAAGTCACTCCGTCTAGACAATGCATCTGCGACTACATTATACTTACCTTGGATCGTTTTCAACTCAAAATCGAAGGTATCAATAAACGCAAACCATCGTACCAGTTTATCAGAGAGCCTCGGCTGTGTCTTTATCCACTTCAGGGTAGAGTGGTTTGAATACACAGTGAAGTGCCTCCCTAAGAAGTAGTGCTTCCACGTGTTTAGTGCATAGACTAAGGCATACAACTCCCTTTCATAGGTGGAGTTGGCAACCTTTTCAGACGGCAGCCGCGCAGACATAAACTCTATGGGCCTATAGCCCTTGTCGTCATCTTGCTGTAAAACAGCGCCAATCCCATACCAACGTGCATCAGTAGTGACAATGAAAGGCAAAGACGGGTCAACAATCTTAAGGACGGGGTAGTGAGTCAGGGCATACTTCAGTTTCCGAAAGGAAGACTCACAATCCTTATCCCACAACCAGATAGTTTATTTCTTTAACAATCTTCGCATTGGTGTAGCAATCAATGAGAAGTTTCTAACAAACTTCCTATAGTAGCTGGCTAAACCAAGGAAAGATCGCAATTCCGTTATAGACTTAGGTTGTGGCCAGTCTCTAATTGTTGAAATCTTCTTCTCTTCTGGCCTTAGACCTTCTTCGTTCACTATATGTCCTAAGTATAGCACTTCGGACTTAGCAAACTCAGACTTTTTGGGATTGATCTTGAAGTTGCCCTCACACAACTTCCCTAGCACTAGACGAAGGTGATTCTCATGATCCTCTAGTGTTTTACTATACACTAGAATATCATCGAGATAGACAATAACAAACTTATCCAACCACTGATGAAACAAGTCATTCATTGACCTTTAAAACGTAGCAGGGGCATTCGTTAATCCGAAGGGCATTACCACGAACTCGTAGTGGCCATACCTGGTTCGGAAAGCGGTCTTGTGCTGATTGGAGGGTTCCACCTCGATCTGGTGATATCCAGATTTCAAGTCGATCTTGCTAAAGTACCTGCATCCCTGTAACTGGTCAAGTAAGTCGTCAATGCGAGGAAGCGGTTCAGCGTTCTTAACAGTGATGACATTCAACCCTCTGTAGTCAATACAGAGACGCCACTCACCTTCCTTTTTGGGCACAAATAAGACAGGGGCACCATAAAGAGAAGAGCTAGGGCGAATCCATCCTTTCTCTGTTAAGTCCTGCAGTTGTTTTCTCAACTCTTCAAGTTCCCTAGCAGACATTCGATAGATAGGGCCCTTGGGAATCTTACTTCCAGGAATAATTTCGATGGTGTGCTTGATAGCACGTGCAGTTATTCGTGTCGGTTCGACAAACAAATCTTTAATGCTCGTCAAGGAGTTTTTCGGTCGAAGGAGGATAGGAAGTAGAGGACCCACCTGCTCGTTTTACTAACACCATCATTACTTCCTGTTCCAACCTTTTCTTTGAAACCATCGAACGAAACGCTGGGTAACTCATACAGCAGAAAGACAGGCTAGAGTCCGAGTCAGACTTATGAAACAATTTGATTGGTTTCAAATCAGACCGTGCGTCTCGCAATTGCACAATCTTTTCTTTGAACTTAATATCTGGGTTGGCTTCCTCGTGCCAATCCATACCCAGAATCAAGTCAAACGGTAAGTTCTTTTGAATCAGGAAGGATACCTCATGCAAAATTTTCTTACCTTCCTTTTTTCGAAACCAACACTTGATACGATCAACATGCTGCGAGACAGTTATCGTGCTTTTGTCGGCCAAAACAGACGTTATAGGTTTTGACAGGTTCTTCATCTTCATTCCGAGATCCAACTTGCGGATTGCTTTCTCGGATGTATAGGATCGCGTGGATCCTGAGTCTAACAGAGCACCTACGCGTGTACGTGCGATTTCTACATCCGCGAGTAGTAGGTCACCCTTAGACTTAGCTTTCTTAGCCCACGAGCTTCGTAATGCCAGCAACTCGTTACCAAGCTCGTCAAGAGAGTCGTCCAGAGAGATAAGATAGGTTCAGGGTGTTCTGGACGATGGGCCGAAGAAGAACCATCCTCTGCCATGTGAGTCAAAGGGTTGGAAGGGTTAGTAGGCGCCTTACCTTCATTCTGGTCCAAACCCTTAGACTCAGTAGGAGCAGATGCTACTCCTACTGGCGGCTCGCTTTTGGGTTACGAATGAACGGGCACCATGCAATTACATGCCCTGCAATGCCACACTTCAGGCACTGCGCGTTGTCCATTCGTTCCCGCCACTTTTCTTGTGACAAACCCATCTTCTCCCAAGGCTTCACGACCGCAATTCCGGGGTGTTCTGGGAACGAGCGTGGCTTCTTCTTCTTAACCGGCGGTCGTGGTCCTTCCTTGTTGACCACGGCAGCAGTGACTTCCCCTTTCCCGGAATCACTGTTGTTCGCCACACCCTCGGCCTCCAACGACCATCTTTCCACAGTTTCGTCGTCGAAGACGACAAGGGTGTGGTCTTGGCGCTTTTGGCGCCAAAGTACTCGCTTACCTGTTCCTGCACCACCACCATACTTCACAACAGATGCATAAGTGTTCTTCACTTGCGAAGTCATTTGCTGTCTTTGGAGAGCAAGGTCTCGAAATTGCCGGTAATTGTACTTACCTGACTTTGACTCTGCCACGAGCTGACCGCGTATGGGCTCAGGCAAAGCTTGAGAGTAAATGTACAATACCTGATTGTCTTGCAGGTTCAAACCGGGAACCTGCAAGAGACGGTCAACCTCCCGAGACATTGAAGAAGTCCAATGCTTTTGACCTATCGTAGTGAGCTGGTCAAAAGCCTTGTCGGCTGTCGTCTTATCCAAAAACCGTTCCTTGATCTTGGCAAGGAACTGTTTGAGGTCCAAAGTTTCAGCCCATACTCCGATGTCGTCAAATCCTGCCGCATTGGCTTCAGCGAGAACCCACTCTTTTGCTTCCCCACCCAAACATGAAGTGGAGAAGGCCACTTGAGACTCGGGTTCAACGGGGGCTGTTCCACAATACGTCTGAATTTCTGCGATCCACAAAAGCAGATTTTCTTCTTTCTTGTTACAAAATGTAAATGGCAATTTCATCTCAACTTTTTCTCTCTTTTTCTGTTTTTCAGGTTGTTGAGGGGTGGTGGTCTTATTTTCAACGGGAGGCGGACTCGATGGCGGACTCGAAGGTGGACTAGAAAGCGGACTCGAAGGCTCCCCTTCCTTCCCCTCAGTTTTCTTAGTCCCTCCCTCAAGTGCCTTAAAAGCATCTCCCATCAATTTCTCAGGTTTCTTTTCTTTCTCAGTTTTGACTTCCCTAGTCACTTTGTTCTTTCCCTTGACCAGATTGGTGATAGTCTGTAATCCCGCAGTTACCTCATCAATACGAACACCGTACTGGTCAATCTTCATCTCAAGATGTTCGAGGTAAGTCACTAATTGAGAAATAGAAACTGCCTGTCCTTCCCCTTCGGTTACAACAACATTCTGTCTAATTTCTTGAATTTTCTTTTCTTGCTGTGTATTTCTCTCTTTTTTCCTTCTCATTTCTTCTCTCTTTTTCTTCTCTTTCTCAAGTGCCTCCTCGAGTTGTCTAACGTTTTCATCAAGGACTTCTACAGAAATCGTTGTTTTCTGTTCTTCTTGTTTCTGTCTGTTCTCAATTTCAGCAAACTGACCAACGACAAAATCATCAAGTGCTTTATGGCACTTGATCAGTATGCCTTGGACAACAAGGACGTCGGTCCCAGTTTCCGCAGTTTCAATGGCAGTTCTTAATGCCTGCAAATCATACAATTCACGGACATGGGACTCAGCCTCTGGACCAGTGCCACGGCGTTCAGACTCAAGTTGATTCAAACGGGCAATCAAGACTTTCTTCCATTCATCAACTTGCTGCCTGGTTCGTGGTTCTGGTTGTTCTTCATCTACCGCAAAGATTACTGAAATAGGATAGAACAAAAGTGGGATGAAACGCGTGAGCACCGAGAGTTTCAGACATTTCCAGAAATGAGACATCATGATTTGTGTTTGCCGCACAATGAATAATTAATAAACAATAATAGATTCCACGGCCGCTAACCCAAAGAAGAAAGAACAACTACAATTATTTTTGAATTCTATGTCAACTTCTGCTGTTCTGTGTGATGACGTCCTAAGTGTACAAGTACCACTACAGGCCCATGTGATCAGACACAACACACAAGTAAATACGCAAACACCACACACAGCAACAACATGTAAGTATGCCAACAAGAATCACAACAATCTGTCAGCAAACTTCGTCAATCTGCTGTGTCCACTTGATTGTCTGTGCGATCACGCACTCGCCCAAACTGCTGGCACTACAGCTGTATAATTATTCCAGTCAGTTGTACCGCCGTTGTCTTCAGAGTGCCCCTTTTTACTTAGCAGTAGTCCTGCCTGCCACGTGTCACCCCTGGCATGCCAACACAGCAGATCCTGCCACGTCATCACTCTAATGTCCAGTCAGCCAGTAGTGGGATGCCACATCAACAAATGTGTGTCCTGATCCTCGCCACGTGCCTCCTCCACGCGTCTCGTGAGATACTGTCGCCGTTCCAGCCAGTCAGATCATGCCACGTCAGCTAAGGGCCTGTTGCCACGTCAGCAGATAGTCACCACCTCATAAGACAGGTGTGATGACTCTTCCAGCCACGTCAGCAGTCAGTCTTGTCCCCAAAGCCACGTCAGCACCTGCGGTAGACACTGTCGCGTGTCAGCAGCACAAGAAGTGCCACGTCAACAATCAGCAACAAGGTCTTCAGATGTGGCACAACATATGCCACATCAGCAAGGGATTGCGATGTCACTATCGTGATCCAGGCTGGCGTGCGGCATCTCCAATGGCAGTCCCTTCTGCCACGTCAGCAGCCTGGTAGGGACTTCCTCTCGCCAGTGAAGTCAGCACCTCATCTGCACTCTCGGCAATGTCTTCTCGCTAGTGAAGTGTGTACCACGTCAGCAATCCCCGGCAATGTCGTCTTACCGAACAGGTATGTACCTCGTCAATATCCCTTGCCACGTCATGACCTACTCAATCTTACTTACCTGAGCGCCACCTGGCGCTTACCGCATTCTAATGTCAATGTCAGGAGAATAGCTCCGATACCAAATTGTAATGAACCCTGATCGTGAGACAGTTGTCAACAATGCAAGTCCAGAAAAATGTCCATCGGTTGATGATTACAAATAGTCAAAAATCGTGACCAGACAGAATGAGGTGAGATATCATACACAGATGAAGAGGGAGGAGGGAGAAGAGACAAAGGAGAGGAAGTAAAAATGCCCACTCCTGCTTCAGGCTCCCTCCTCTACTGCCACCTCATCAATCAATAGTCTGAATGAGTATCCAAGTATCCTCAATGTGCCACGTGGCACGTCCAATCAATTCCACATCAGCATCT